TTATTTTTTTTCCCCGGTACCGGGAATCAAACTCACGACCTCACGCTTGCCAGGCAGGCACTGTGCCACTGAGCTAAATCCCCAGCCCCAATATATATAATTTTAAATTGGTTGCTTTAATCATTTACCCTCTAAAAGCTTCAGCTGCAAACATGTCCCTTCTATTCCACCCCACAACTTGAATTATCATAGTTTGAAAAAAATTAATGGATTGTTATATTTTTTTTAGGTGACAGGGTACTGAGCAAGGTAGTCCTTGTCTTCCGGAGCTCTGTAATGAGAATGATCCATGTCTGCCCTGCTGTGCAGTCCAGTATTTCTGCACCCACTGCACACAGGGGCACTGTGGCCCTGCAACTAACATTACACAGACACAGCTGGCTACAGGAGGAGGAGGCCATGCCCAGTGGCAACAAGCCAAGGGCACCAGCAAGATTAGGCAAAAAAGCCAGAGTCCAGATGCATGCTGTTGACCAGCCCCAGGGCTGCCAGGTTGGAAAGGGTCCCTGTCATTTTCCCCTGGCCACTCTACTCTGCAGTGTTCTGCTGCTTCTAGGCTACTGTCTTTATATGCTGGGACCACACCCCATCTCTGTGGACAGGAGTGTGGTGCTGAGGCCACTCTGACCCTTACCAGGCCCGTGAAGAGGAACTAGGGGTTGGGGTAAGTCAGTTATGGAGCCATCTCTAGTCTCTGCGTCTCACAAAATCCTAGAAGAGCAGAGCTCGGAAGCACTGGTCACCACACGTCTGTGCGCTCACTGGCACAGTGGTTTCTGTAACCCATGGGGGGCAGGATGCTCTATTCTGTACTTCGTATGGGTCAGAGTCTGAACCAGGCCCTTTGACAAATGTGATGCCATTTAATCCTTGCAAGGATTCGGCAAGAATTTGTTTCTCCCAAGAGAAAAAAGGACTGACGTACTGTGGACAGCTCTCAGAAGTGTGATGCTCAGGGGAAAAAATCAGATGCCACTGATGGCATCTGATGGGGCCACTGATGACTCTGCGTCTATGAAATGTCCATTATAGCAAATCCACAGAGTTAGATTTCCAGGGGAGAACACAATAGAGAGTTCTAAACAGCACAAAATTTTCATTATATCTTCTTTGACCTGCATAATTTAGAAGTATTTTTTAACTCTCCAATGCTCAAAAAGTCACTTTGCATTAGTTTTTTTTTTTTTTTTTTTTTTTTTGCTTTGTTTTGTTTATTTTGGTTTTTTGAGACGGGGTCCTGGTAGGTAGTCCAAGCTGGCCTTGAACTCACTCTGTAGCCCAGGCTGGCCTCAGAGTTGTGGGGGTTCTCCTACCTCAGGCTCCCAAGTGCTGGGACTGCAGGTGAGCACCACCACACCTGGCTCTATTTTATTTTTAAAAACAGCAATTAGTCCATGTTGTAAAGAGAGTCTATCCTGGAACTTTTACTGGGAATACAGAGCAAGAAAAGCTGCTGAGGAAGAACCAGGACCAGGGGTTTTTTGGTTTTTTTCTCTGGTACTGGGAACCGAACTCACGACCTTGCGCTTGCCAGGCAGGCGCTTTTGCCGCTGAGCTAAATGCCCAGCCCCTGACCAGGGGCAATTTTACTAAAATAAGGCTACATGCAATTGAGAACAAATCCAAGGCATACACAAAGTCCAGGCCGAGAGAATCCTTTGAGTCTCTAGGTCTCTTCACTTGTGCCAGATGTTTTGCATAAGTGTCTGTCACCTACACTTGAAGGAATATTAATGGATACATCCTTCTTCATTTGTTCCAAAATATCAATGATTGTCTGCAATCCCAGCACTCAGGAGGCTGAAGCAGGAGGATCATCATGAGTTTGAGGCCACCCTGGGCTACATAGTGAGTTCAAGGCCAGCCTAAGCTAATAATCAGACCCTGTCTAAAAAACAAAAAGCAGAGATACTGGTGCACACCTGTAATCCCAGCACTTGGGAGGCTGAGGCAGGAGGATCGTTGTGAGTTCAAGGCCCACCTGGACTGCAAAGTGAGTTCAAGACCAGCCTGAACTGCATAGTGAAAGCCTGTCTCAAAAAGGAAAATAAATAAATAAATAAATAAAAATATCCATGATATAAATAAAACCTAAATCTATAGTGTCTATAAACTAATATAAACACCTAACACCTGACTCAGGCCTGCACCACAAGTGTATTTCCAGTTAGCTGGTTCCTCTTAAAAGCCTGGCCAAGAGAAATGAGAAAGATACCATTTATATAAATAAAGTGGTTCTACCTATTATCACATAACACAGACACACGGAGCAAATGTGTCCACAAGACTGTTGCTCAAGCAGACCCTGAGCCTTGGGAGGCCTGAAGGTCACCCGGGAGACAGCAGGTTCCCATGATGTAGGTCAGGAGCAGCCGACAGCGCCTTCAATGAGGGCCCTGCTGGATCCCGATGGTTGTGCTCGCGCTGTTGCTCATCTGTATACTGCAGCAGGATTTTATTTATTTAAGGATGAGCAGAAGAATTGGTTAATAATAAATTTAGGAGCTAAATTTATGATGTTCCAGGGAATCACTATATACAAACCACCTCCCTAAGGCCTATGGGCCAAATACAATGGTATCTTTATGTCCAAGCTGAGAAACCGAGGCTAACAGAATAAACTCCCTAAAACCACAGTTAATGAGAGCCAGAAAGGTTGATTCTGAAGCCTCTAATGTTACCCAGTCTAAGAGATCACACATAGGAAATCCTGATAACCTAAAGATTTGGTCATCTAAGTCCCTGCAGCTATGCAGTTGCATAGGAAAATATCATCATAATATAGAAGTTGCACCAGGAACTTTTTTTCTTTCAGTACTAGGGGCTGAACTCAGGGCCTTTACAATGAGCTACACCCTTAGCCTTTTTTCATTTTCTATTTTGAGACAAGGTCTCCCTAAGTTACTAAATTGCCCAGGCTGGGCTTGAGTTTTTTTTATCCTCCTGCCTCAGCCTCCCAGACTGCTGAGATTACAGGTATGTACCACCAAGCCAAGCTGCACTAATGATTTGATTGCTCACATACTGCTCTCCACTCAAACCTCCCTCCTCATGTAGCTCTAGTATCTTTCCCCACTTTCCATGAAAGGATCCAGAATCATGTTGTAAGGCTGTAGGAGTACAGTGAAATCTAAAGCCAATTGTAAATCTTTCCAGAGATATAAGACGTCAGAACGCCCAAGAACGTAATAGGGGATGCTCAGACAGAGCCCAAAGCCATTGGCAAGTGTGGGAGGGTTTGGCAAAGCCAGACAGGCAAACGATTGCAGAGGCAGAAACTGCCAAGGCCAGCGCCTGCTGGCACTTCAACAAGAAACAATTTGAATATCAAATAATTATGAGAGGCTCTTGGGAAAATTAATGGCACACTTGCAAATTATCAAAAAACCAACCCTCTTTATAACAGAACCAGGAAAATCACACACAATAGGAAAGATAATGTGTTGAGCTAGCACATAATTTGTTAGAAAAATTAGGACCCTGCCAAATCAACACTTGATTCGTTGTTGTTTCTACAAATTAATGCACAGTTGCATACATGACCAAAATTTATTGAATGTAAGACAAATTCATGCTATTTGAGGGTTTGTTGTTTTTTTTCTCTCATTCTTCAAGATAACTTCTCAGACTCTTGTCCCCGTTAATACTACTTGACTCCCATTTTAAATGAATTCATGTAAGGGGTCCTTCTTTCCAGTACAATTATCCTATGCAATGGAAAGTAATCAACAGCAGGTAGAAACCTTCCATCCACCCTTCCAAGAGTGTAAATTCCACCCACATAGCAATTTAGGCCACCAGAAAATCCCCTTCTTAGACCCACACTACCTCAGCCTAGGACAACATTTCACCTCTGTTTTCCTTCATACTGGGTCTTTCTGTAGATCTAAAATAAATCACTTAACAGTGGCATGAAAATGTAGTCCACCTTATTCTCAACATCCCCTTTATTAAGGTGGTTAAGTTTATTTCTGACGGTTTTGTTTGGGTGGGAGTAAGATTTCCTCAGCCTCTTTTGCCTGAAAGAGAATACACAAGTAGGCGAATAAAAATCAGTGCCCCTTGTGAAGATTTCACTTGGCAAAGCTACACACTGGCATTTTGCTTTTGGGGTGTGTGGGTGGGTGTGTGTTTAAATTTAGAACGGACAAAAAGACTTTGCTGGGAAACACATGCTTCCTGCTTCTTGAGTAATAGTACCATGAAACCCTAATCTTTTCCCTTGTGTGCCCACTGCAAGAATATTAAAAAACGAATTTCCTTTTGATTTATGGTTTATTTTGATCATGTCTTGTATGTGCCCCTTTTATTTTACGCCAACACCAGAAATCATTTTGGAAGAAGCAGGCTTCATCTGACTTGACTGAGGCTAGATACGGCAGCATTAAGTCAGGAGAGGGAGTAGAGTCAAGAGGTGCAAGGCTTCCTGAGGGCCAAGCGTGCGATCAGCAAGGCTTCTGAGTGTGGTTTTCTGGGTGTTCACCGCCGGGGAGGGTCTCACGGCTCAAACCACCCTCCGCATCTACCCATGACACCCTGCCTGCCAATGACACCCGCAACTTGCAAGCACCGACAGATGCAGGCCCCTGGCAGGGAAGGGGCCTCTTCTGCACCGGCCTCACCGCAGGCACTGGCCGCTCTGCCCCATGAACATAAGCCATAAACATTAAACACTCTGCTTCATCTTAAACGCTCAGACAGTGCCTGGCGCGCCGCAATAAGCCTGGGGCTCGCACAGAGCTCCACGCGAGCTTCCAGCACGGGGGACCGCCGGGGAGACCCTGAGTTTGGCTGCAGCGCTCTCCCCACGAAGCAGACACCCGGACTGTCACACAGCACGGAACCCGAAGCATACCGGCGCCGGAGCCACACGGACTAGGCGCCCAGCTGTCCGGACCGGAAGCCCGCGGCCTGCACTTCCGGAAGGAGGCGGGGGGAGTGGGGAGGTTGGCCGCGTCGCTCCCGCGGTGCTATTTCCGGCGCGGCGTGTAGTGGTGAGCGCAGCGTCCCGTAGCTCTTACCCTGCACCCGGGGAGTTTGTTTCTCCGAGGGCTGGATAGCCTCCCAAGCCGTAGTAAACAGAACTGGGTGGATGTGTGTGGCAGGCGGTCCTCCGAGCCCCAGTAAACAGAGTGTGTGTGGGCGGGGGGGGGGGTGGTGTTCAGTCATCCTGCCAGCCAGATTCTCGCGGGAAGCCTGTGTGGACCTGCTTGTGCGTCTGTTTTAAAGCTACATGATACTTATTTTGGAACCCCATGTAATATCCTACACTGTTTGACTCAGTCCTCGTTTTCTTTGTCTTTTTAAACCCAATTAAAGCCGCCATTGAAGAGCGGGACCATGGAAAGCAAGCCGTTGGTGATATCGAAACAGAAGACGGAAGTGGTGTGCGGAGTCCCCACGCAGGTGGTCTGCACAGCCTTCAGCAGCCACATCTTGGTGGTGGTGACCCAGTTCGGGAAGATGGGTACCTTGGTCTCCCTGGAGCCCTGCAACGTGGCCAACGACATCAGCAAGCCGGTGCTCACCACAAAAGTCCTTCTTGGGCAGGATGAGGTAGAGTGGTTGGGAAGGGACCCCCAGGTGGAGGAGACTCCTCTCTCCTGGCAGCAAATTGTCAGTAGGATGTGGACCACCTGGTATGCAGCACTACACACACACAGCAACGGTGACAGCCTTCTCAGGGACCTTTGTGTGTTGGAGGGCATCTGCCTGCCCTTGGTGATGCTCTTCCTAGCCTGTCAGCATTTTATCCAGCAGATAAGTGGAGGTATTGATTTTGTAATGCGGGCTGCCTCCTCAGTTTGACCCTGTCCTGATACATTATGTTAATGAGTGGCTGCACGTGCTCCATGAGACTTGACAGCGTCTCCCTCTGCAGGCTTGTCTTTCATGAGTCCTTCCAGATTAGAAATAGGTGGCGAGAGAGACGAAGAAGGCACCAAGGAAATAAGCTTAATGATGCCTCTGTAGTGGTTTGTTTATACCTAGAGTTCAAGTGCCTCATGGAGCTCTGAGTCATTGCTGCATCAGGCTTAATGGTAGTGTGGGAAGCCAGAGTTACTTAAGGAAAGCATCAGGAAAAATTCAGGATTCCTGCAGTCACCATGGTTTCTTCCCTTTCACCAGCCTCTCATCCATGTCTTTGCAAAGAACTTGGTAGCATTTGTGTCTCAAGAAGCTGGAAACAGAGCAGTCCTCCTTGCCATGGCAGTGAAGGACAAGAGCATGGAGGGGTTGAAGGCCTTGAAGGAGGTGATCCGGGTGTGCCAGGTGTGGTGACCTGGAGTCAGCAGCACACGCCACTCAGCAAGACCAGCTGGACACTCAGTCCCTTCGTGGGGTCTCAGAGACCAGTCGTTTGGCACAGTCAAAAGGAAGAGCTTTCTTGGACTGTTGCCACAAAAAAATATTCGTGTCTTCAGGCAGACCTTTGCTGTTTGTGACTGTATCACGGTGGGTGACAAAAACAGTAGGGACACTGGAAATGGTTCTCACTGGGCTCCGATCCTTGCATCTACTTGGGAATGGACAGTCCGAGTCAGCTGGCATGACTCATGGCCCTCAGTGGGCAGTGTCCCTTTTAGGAGGAGGGTTTTTTTATTAAAAATAAATATAGTGTGATGCTTCACCATCCTTCTTAATAACACTGGGAAATCGTGGTCACACTGTGAATTCAGCTTAGCGTACCTCAGGTGGGAGGAAAACTTCATGTTTGACAAAAATGCCATCCGTGGTTGACAGGTGAGGTGAGACCTAGGAGTGCCTCTGCATGCTGTTGTCCCGCCTCTACCCAATGCCTCAGTGTTGGCTTCCATCCAGTTGGTGTTTTGTACTTTCATACTGAGTGCCAGGAACCACTGTGTGTCGGGGGGTGGATAGAAGGGAGTCCAGGGGAGAGAATAGTGTGTATAGAGGTCGAGTGTGACAAGAACAGTAGGTGAGTTGCTAAGGCTGGACAAGAAGACCATTGTGAGGGACAGGTGGCCATAGGATGATCTTGAGCTCAGTGAGGAACTTGGAGGATTTTGAGTAGGATCAGGTCCATCCTTTAGTAATCGTCCTAGGAGATATTTGCAATGATTGCTAAGGGCTGGGATCAGGTGTTGGCTTTAGAATGGCATTTATGCCCCGGAGTTGGCCTGTGAGTGGCAGCCTGGACACTGGGCTGTCCTTCCTGCAGCAAGGCCAGCACCACCAGTCCCACTCCAGTTAGGAGTTTTGAAGCTGGAAAGTGAAATCTTTGTCCCACGTGTGGCTCTGATGGTCTCTAGTGAGAAGGCAGAGGCAGCTGGGGGTGGGTGAGGAGAATGGGTTGCAGAGAAGCACATGGTACCCTTCCTGGGATCGAGGATGCACAGAAGCCTCAGGCAACACCTAGGTGTTCATGAAATTAGGAAGGAATGTTTGTATTTGGTTTATCTTTGAGCTGGTGGCTCCTGCAGCCCTGCGATTCTTCTTACTCTTAGGAACCCTTGTCTAGGCCAGGCAGAGAGTGAATTGAGAAAGTGGGTCTGCTAAAGGTGGCAGAGAAGATGATTGTCCCAACTCACCACTTACCATTCGCTTTTGCAGACAAGGAAACTGAGGCATGAGGAGAGACCACAAAGCTACCCCGGTAGTGTGAAGAACCGGGGGCCTGGGGCCCTCATGTTCCTATCACCAGACCCCTCTGTGGTTCTCTGTCCCTGCATCCTTTTTGTTTTTTCTGTTTTCTCTTTTTTTTTGTTTGTTTTGGTTTGGTTTGGTACCGGGAATTGAACTCAGGACCTTATGCTTGCCAGGCAGGCGCTTGTGCCACTGAGCTATATCCCCGGCCCCTGCATCCTTTTAACTATGTCAGAGGAATAATAATCCTCCAGATGCCTCAGTTTTTCCTCCAGGCTTCTGTCTGGTTCTAGTTCAGGCTCTTTGTTTCAGGGCCTCCTAAGAGCCAGCCCTGACAGGTCCCTGCTTCTAATTGGGTACTATGACCGCCCCCCCAATTAAGAGGCAGGTAGTAGAGACAATTGAGAAAGATGAAGGAGTTGCTCAGAGATGCCAGGGTGTAAGTGCTGGCCAGGCATAAGTAGTAGTCAGGGCAAGAAGGCAGCTCTTCCCCTGTTATTTGCGTGGCCCCGAGGTGGCCTAGCCTGAAGGTGGTGCTAAAGCTGACCTGGAGCTGAACCCAGTTCCCTGGGGCCTCTAAGTTACATTTAACTCAGAGCTGCCTGGAGTGGTCTGCTAGTGTTCACAAACAGGCTTGAGGTGTATCACAGAGGTACAGCACTTGGCTCACACGCTCCAGGCCCCGAGCTTGATCCCCAGTGCCACAGAAAAAAACAGATAACAGCAAATGACTTCGGGAACTCAGCCAGGGCCCCCTGCACCCCCCCACCTCCCCCCACCAATTGGGCTGGTTCCCCAAGGAGTCACACTGCCCTTGCTCCCTGCATGAACAGTTTGCTCCCCGCTGCCAGCCCTCAGAGATCTGTAGATGGAGGGGCTGTGTCTGGTACTTACCTAGCCATCAGACTAGACCTTCGCAGCCTAATGCAGTAGTGAAGGTTGGGTTGCTGTGTGCCAACCTGCACAGGGGCAGACAGGAAAGGGTCTGTCTTCACGGCTCTGCCCTTGCATCACCCCCTTCCCTCACATGGTTTTCCCAGTTTTCTACTGAGCAGCATGAGGCCTCCCAGGCCCCTCCCTCACGCCCACCCTTTCCCAGGGCTCAAGTGTACCTTAAAGGTAGAAAGTTCCAGAAGGTTAGTTGTTCTTGGAGTCAGGCAGCTACCATATCCTGGAGCTAGATGACCTGGCTCCCCGCCCCCCAACACATCAGTTGCTGTGACCCACTGAATGAGACCACGTGGAAGAGTAAGCTGGCCTAGACTGCATGGTTTAGCTCCTGGGAGGGGAAATTGGAAAAGGGGAGAAGGCCTGGCAGATGGGGTGAAGTCAGACCTGCATGGTGTCCAGTGGCTGAAGAGAGTTACTGTCACTTGAGCTTATCATTTGGCATCATAGCAGGAAAAACAGGACAGGCCCTGCCTGTGTGGGTGAAAGGTGCCCTGGCGGTAAGTGAGGGTTCCTGAAGAAAGACAGGTCCAAAACCCTTGAGCCCTGGGGATATTGATGTTTCAGAAATAAGCCCACATTTGATGGAGGGCGGTACTTTGGGCCCCAGAGGTGGGCACGGCCAGCAGTGTGCATGAGAACATGTTGGCCTATTCCCACGTGAGCTCAGCATCTCACCAGGGCCCCTCAGGAGCCCAGGGCAGGCAGTGCTGGACCGTGAGGCCCTTCCTATGCAGGTGCAAAGGCCTGGGGTGCTGAGGACAGACTGCCTCCTCATACCAGAGCCTGGGAAGAAACACAGGGTAGGACTAGGAGGGAGGCAGTGGGAGAAATAGGAAGAGAGGAGGAGGAAGAGCGCTCTCCAGAGAAAGCTTTCCAGCAACGCAGGAGGCCCCCCACAGGAATTCGTGAGCCTCCCTGACCGCACATCCGGGACTCAGGCACCCGCTCTACTGTCTGTCGGCCTTCAGCCCTCACCACCTAAGGATAGGACACGTTGAGGCTGTCTCACAGATGAAACTCAGGACAGGACAGAGCAGCGACCTCCCCGATCCCCGCCAGCGCGTTTCCCTGTCCTTGGGCCTGGAGGACTGTGGTTCTCAGCCCACAAAAGGCCCCAAACACAGGCCACATGTTCCATTCGTCCTGTGAACCAGTACACGTGGCTGTGACCAGCACTTGGCAGCAATGTTGGTCCCCAGCCTCCCTGAAGCTGTTTGGGGATGCGGAGACCAAGGAAGAGGAAATGGAGCGTTGTGGGCAGAAGGAAGGGCTGGAAGAAGACAGGCTGGTCACCCAGAACCTCGGTTCATGTGGGACATGGGGCATCACCACACCACTGCACACCCAGGGCCCCGGTGTGACCCCTGTGGCAGCGACCAGCCCGCACTTGGTACATAGCCACCAGAAAGCCCCCTCCTTGTCAGGGTCTCTAGGCCCAGACCTACGGGCAGGAGGAGGAGGCAGGTGGGTGTGGCAAGGATTGAAGGCTGGTCCGGAACCTGGGCTGGGTGGCTGAGGGTGTGGCCCAGCCGAGGCTGCTTGGGCAGGTAGGGCTGGCTAGGCAGGGCTGGGAGAAGTTTCTGGGCAGAGCAAGGGTGTGTGGGGGCCCTGCTGCCCAGCTGCTGTGAGGAGGGCAACCGAGGGCTGAAGGCTACACTGCGTGGCTCACCCCTCCCAGGCCTGGAGGCTGCAAAGCGTGTCCTGTGTGGGAAACAAAGCTGCAAGCCTATCAGGGGCCCTGCCAGCACCGAGAGCCACCAGGGAGGTGAGCTATGCCCATGTGGGACTTACCTGGGAGGGACATGGTTTCCAGACTAGGGCCCTGACACTCTAGTGGGGTGGGGGTTCCTGGAGAAAAAAAACCCACTTCTGAAATTCTGAGTTACACCTCTCTGTCCCCCATCTTATCTCGAACCCAGAATCCATGCCCCACCAGCTGCAGGATGCTACCAAAAAACATCTTGGCAGAGCCGCACCCCAGGCTGGCAGCTGCTGTGGGAAAAGGCAGGTGTGGACAGGTCCCAGCAGGTCCTCCAGGGGCTGGGGTTGGCAGCAGGGAGGACACAGACCCATAGTACAGGGAGTGGTATCCCTGTGTTCCCAGGATGGCCCACCCTGGGTCCCGGGCACTGGCAGTGAGACAGCCCAGGGGCCAGAAGCTGAGGCCACCCACGTCTTACCTGAATGCAGACAGCAGGCCAGTTGGGCAGCCGGAGCTCAGTCCCAGGTCCATGCTGGCCTGGCAGGAGGACTTTAGACAGAAACACACTTTGAAGTGGCCTGATGCCACCTAAGAAGAGCAGCAGGCAAAGGGCAGCCTGTGTCTCCATTCTGAGTGCCCTGACCTGCACAGCCATATACACGGGATTCGGCTGGCATGGGAAAACTGAGGCACGGCTTGGCACAGGTTCTGCCAGAAGACTGCTTCCTCCCCTGGTAGGAGTAGCATCCTGGCCACTAGGAGGCAGTGCTGCCTACATGTTTGTGGGAAGGTATGCTGGGGACAGGACTAGACCGAAGGTGGCAGGAGGTAGGGAGAGGTGGCTTCCTGGTCCCTGGGGTGGAGGGCAGTGTGTCACCCATGCCTCCCATAACCTGCAGGGTTGTGGGCGGGATGGGGCCCCAGCTCATCCACTGCCTCTCCCCGAGCCCCATCCTGTTTGTGACTCCTTTACCTGAGCACCCCGGGCCTGGGGCCCCTTTCACTGCCCTGCTGTGCCCCAGAAGTGGGTGTCCCTTGCCTCAGGGCCATTGCATGGACCAAAACAAGAAGCTCAATTGCAAGTGCCTTCGGCCACTTAGGGCACCGGCTAGGGAGGGCCCCAAGAGGGAGCCATAGAACCCAGTGAGAAAATCAGGGTGTCAGGGGTGCCACAGCCCCTCTACAGGCCTGAGGCAGGTGCCATCACTTGGGCTGGGTGGTGCTACTGAGCCTGGGGTACAGAACCTGGGGAACAACTGGGCACCAGAGATGAGGACAGAAGGCACAGTTAGCCCCTGTGTGGAGAAAGTCGAGATGGCTAGCTGAGGACAGGTCACACACCTGGGGTACTGCCAACAGCCAGGCCCAGGAGCCATGAGCATTAGGGCCAAAGGCAGGGCTGAGGCAGGAGGGACAAGGTACAGGAGTATGAGACCGGCTCTGAGGCGTCTTGGCTCCACTGGGCACCTGGGCTTGCTGGAATAGCAGGAATCTGGTCTCCTGGCTGCATAAACAATGGTCAGAGGTCCTTCTGCCCGGATGTGGGCAGGCAGGTCTGTCCTGCCACAGGCTTGGTCAATGTCCAGCCCTCTCCTTGGGAAATCAGGCTGGGTCTGCCGATCTCTGGAGTTGTGTGGGCCAGGACCCTGGCCTCCAGATGAGAGCTGGTCAGCTGGACATCTGGCGCCCTCACGCCTAACCCCAGTAGCATATGGTCTTGTGCTGAGCTCTGGACATCTGGGATGGCCATATGTTACAAGCCCACCCTGACCCCTGGGCCAGGCTAAGGAGGGCTATTCCAGCCCCCAGCCATGGCAGGGCCTGCATGCCAAACCCAGAAGCCCCCCATTCATGCCCCCACAGGCCCAGTATCCCATCAGAGTATCATCTTCTTTGTTAAAGTCAGGTGTCACCACCCTTGGCTGGAGGAGGGGACGAGAACCCAGCCAAAATCACCCTCCCCTGGGGCAGTGAGATGAGGTGGTCCCACTGGCTGTGAGGGCTAGAGTGGGTCCTGGGGACATACGGTCAGGCATGGGGCATGGTCCCTGGCTCCAGACCCTAGGCCAACATCAGCTACAGGACAGTGGGGTAGAGCCCTGGCCAGGAGACCCACAGGGACCCTGGGTCCTTGTCTAGTCCAGCCTCTACCCACTAGGGATAAGGGATAAGGCTTGCCTTTTGCCCAGCAGGCAGACCACCCACCTGGTGATCAGCCCCAGTACAGGTAAGCAGAGGTCCAGGAGATACGTAGGCCTCAGATCTAGGGGCCAGAGTTGGGGATAGCCCTGGATTCTGGGGCCTCCTCACCTATCCCCACTTCTCTAAGGACTGTGCGACCCTTATGGAGGAATTATTACCTCAAGCCTCAGTCTCCTACTCTGTGAAATGGATCTGACAGACCCACTCCCTGAAGGAAATTATGAGAAGGGCGGTAGTGCCCAGACAAAGAGGTGAGGTCCTGAGGGCTTCAGCCTGTGGTCTGCCCAAGTCTCAGGATGAGCCAGTTGCCAACACGGGCATGTGGAAGCTTCGGGTGGGGTGTGTGTGGGACAATGGCCTCCTGAGGTGGGAGGCGGTGCTGGACACTGGACACTTCCCACCTGTGTGTCCTTCAGTGTGCCTAGGATGGCCCCTGGATCCACTGGGAAGATGCCCAGCCAGGCAGAGCCAGTGCAGAGATGGGCGTGGTGGGTCCCCTGGGGCCAGGAAGAACTGTGCTCAGGAAGGTAGGTCACTGGTGCTGGTGTTCAGACGGCACCATGTCCTCCCTGTAGCCCTGAGAGGCAGGCATGGCTGCCCTGTCTTGCAGGTGGAGACATGGAAGCGCCGAGGTGGGTACACACCAGGACCACAGAATGTCTGCCTGGCCTGATGCCAGATGCGGAGACAAGGCAGATGCGGGAGGCAGGCATTGGTGGGAACGGAGGCTGGGCTGAGGCTGCAGGGGTGCAGACCGACATTCATCCAGTTCCTGCCCTGCTTGGGCCTCGGACTAAACCTGTCTTCCAGGTGGGAATACAGAGGCCCAGAGGGACAAAGGGGCTGCCAAAATGTCTCAGGCTGCCACTGGGAGTGTCTGTGTCAGGAGGCCAGAGAAGTTGACCCAGGCGGGAGAAGGAAGATGAGTAGGGGTGGCAGAAGGCCCATCACCACTTCTCAGAGACCCAGTTTATAAAATACCTGCAAGGCCAGTGCTTAGAGGAAGGGAGATGCAGCCAAAGCCACCTCCCAAGGGCTGCCTAGAGACACTGGCTAACAAGAACACTCCAGGCTGGGGCAGAAGTGGCCACCATCAGAGCAAGGGGCAACTGAGACTGACGGGGCTTCCTAGGGGTCACGGACCCACGGGGTGCATGAGCCAGCCCAGCAGCTCCTCACAGTGGAAGCACAGAGCTCTGGGAGTCCCGTGGTCTGAATCCAGGGTCCAAGCCTTCATCCTCCTTAGAGTCAGGGCCCCTCAGCCATCCTGGGAAGTCCCTCTGACATCTAACCACAGTGCTTCCTGCTGTCTACTCAGTCATCCCACCATCAGCCTGAGCAAAGGCCTAAGGCTTCATCCCATGGTGGGTTCAGGAAACAAAACAGGATGGGCCAAGGCTTCAGTTTCTCCACTGGAGACTGAGGCTTGAGGTAATAATCCTCCATAAGGGTCGCACAGTCCTTAGAGAAGTGGGGATAGGTGAGGAGGCCCCAGAATCCAGGGCTATCCCCAACTCTGGCCCCTAGATCTGAGGCCTAGGTATCTCCTGGACCTCTGCTTACCTGTACTGGGGCTGATCAGTGAAGCTCTGTCCATGTCCCTATATCCATCTTCACCCTTCAAAGCCCCCAGGCCATTATCTTATCTTTTTATTTTATTACTTGTTTTTTTGTACCAGGAATCAAGCTCAGGGCTTTACGCTTGCCAGGCAGGCGCTGTGCTGCTGAGCTACATCCCCAGTCCCTGTCTTGTCCTCTTAATTGTTCATGATGACAGTAACAATATCAGGACCAGAAAGTGCTGTCCCCCCACAGCTGGTGTCTCTGAAGGGCCTGGAGGCAGGGCAGGAGGCTCATGGTGGGCACTTTTGATGCACAGGACGAGCTCACGTTGGCCTCTGTCCCTGTCCAGTGGGCCCACAGCCCAGAGGGCCACAACACGGCAGGGTAACACACATGCAAGATTTCAGGTGGCGCAGTGTGGGGCAAAGGCAGAGCTCTCTCTGGGGGTGGCACCAAGACCACAGGACAAGAAGCCACCTGGGGGAGAAGTCAGTGCAGACGTTCCTGGGCAGGGTTGGCTCAGAGAGGGCCCAGAGCCAGTGTGTTTGGGAGGGGGTTTCTGACAGCAGGGGTCGCCTGGGGAAATGTGGATGGGTGTGACCCAGGGGTTGATGACCTCAGACCTGCAGTGGCTCCAGAAAAAGCTGGACAAAGGGATGAGCCTGAGTCCCCAGGTCCCACCTTGAAAAGAGTCATTTGCTTGGGCCTCAGGGCTGGTCAGGTGGCAGGAGGGACAGGAAGTGTGTGGTCCTAACCCCTCACGGAGCAGCCACAGCACTGAACGGTGACTGGAATACGGCCGAGGGACAGGGTGAGGGCCCCAGCCCCTCCAAGGGCAGGGTAGTGGGATGGGTCAGGCCCTGTAGCTCCTGTTCCAGACTCAGTGAGGCCCAGTGACCTGGGCTGTCACCCGGCCCCCTCCCTGTAACACAGAAGTGTCTCCAGTGCACCCCCTGGGGCCCGGTGCTTTGTTAAAACTCACACAGCACAATCTGTCTGCCCCTTCATAAGTTAATCCAGTGGCAATAAGCACTTCCAGTCACCGCGAGTACCCAACTTTCTCATTACCCCAAGGAAACCCTGTGCGTGGGCTCCCCCTCCTCCTGCCCTCGTGACCTGGGGCTTCTAGCCCAGCTCCCCACCGCGGCCCACCCAGACCCCTCCCAACCATCTCTGCCACAGCAGCTGCCCAGCCACCCAGCCCAGGCAGGTGAAGGGCACCTGTAGGCCTGCAGGTTCCTGGGAGCCAGCTGCCACTGAGCAAACAGCCTGAGGGATAGAGTGTCGCAGGGAGGAGACAGGTCTGGCTCCACCCCTCCTGGCCCTCCCCAGGTGGGCCACCGGACAGGTGAGGCCTTGCCATGGTACAGCCCTCCCGATAACAGCTTGTCCCACCCCCAGTGGGCTGCCATTGGGGCCACGTGGCCACTCGAATGACCAGCCCAGCGTCCCCGGAGGCTGGGCCTGCCGGGGCTGGGCCAGGAGCTTCCTGCCTGCAGAGGTAGGCTCTGGGCCCTGTGACCACCGGCTGGAGTGGGGAGGCAGGCTGTCCAGGGCTGCCGGGGTGGGAATGGATATGTGCCAGATGCTCCTGCAGCTTGTCCAGAGCCTGAGGAGGAGGCGACCTGCCAGAGGGTAGGTGGGGGACTGGCCAGGGAAGCATAGCCAAGCAGCCCCAGGCACGCTCAGCAGGTCCTAGCATGGGCAGGGTCAGCATGGGTGAGCTTCTGACCAGCCCTCGCAGGCAGGCAGGATAGAGGGGCCTCGTTTCCCAGGCCTAGGTAGAAGCAGTCTTTGGCTCCTAAACCACAGACACAAAAGCCCAGGGTGTACACAAGGGGGAAACAAAGGGGTGTCTCCAGAACATAGGCAACTGAGGTCTGACCCCTGGGCAGGAAGGAGCCAAGGCCCCTTGCATAGATGGTGCCAAGGGCTGCCTGAGGCCAAGGGAAGGGCAGGACAGATCCAGATTCCCACGGAAGGGACAGGTGCACTCACAACCTGGAAGCAAGAGGTACCAGGGGCAGTAGCCAGGGGGAGACTTGCCCCTGCCATGCTGAGGAAGAGGCGCTGCAGTAGGCACAGCCTGGCGGAGCCTCCCTCTGGTGACCCCTGCCCTGCCCCACCCCTGCCAAGCAGGAGCTGTCCCTTGGCCTTCAGTCCTTCCCGCATCCTCCCCCTCTGCAGATGAGTAACGTCTCAGAGCTCCTGGGAACAACCGGAGCACCCCTGGCACCCTCAGCCTGGCCACCACCCAGCCACCCAGCAGACATGCCCATGGTGCCTGCGGGGCCACAGGTGGACCGTGTGGACAACAGCTCCCAGGAAGCCCCCCAGCTCTTCCTCACCACTGCACTGGCCCGAGGTGTCTCTGGCGTCTTCGTGTGGGCTGCTCTGGTGCTTACCTGCCACCAGGTAGGTCCTCCCCGTCTCTGAGCCTCCCTGGGGAGAGCTCTCCACAGGATACCATGCAGTTTAGCCAGTGCCCCACTGGGCCTGGAGCGATGGCCCTCAGGACCAGACACCAAGGCCTGGTGAGACCAGGGTACAGTGCCTGGAACCCTCAGGGTGGCATTAGGCACAAGCACCAGGGAAGGGACAAGGTCCTTTCTCCAGGATCTGCCATGTGAAAGCCAGGCCTGAAGAAGGGAGGTCTCTGCCTGGCAGAGGGCAGAATGTGCCGAGGCGCCTCCAGGCATTGCTCTGGCCCCTCACCCTGCTTGCCCACATCAGCCGCGCGGTCCACTTCACAGACAAGAACACCAAGGCTTAAGGGGACCAAGGATCTCTCCCAGGCCATGTACAAGACAGAAGAAAAACCTCCTGCCCCCAGAGGGGTGGCACGCAGGGTAGAGCCGCCAGGGCTTGGACTCTGCTCTGTAGGAAGCTTCAAGCTAGAAACAGGCAGCAGGGAGCTGAGGGGATGGGGAGTCAGAGAAGGGGCGGGAACCAGGGGAAGAGGGAGCCGCAGCTGGGGACAGGGAGGAGGCACAGGGAGCTGGACCCGGCCTGGCCAGAGGACACGGGGCCCCTGCAGGCAGGACTGCTCCTCAGTCTCCACACAGAGCCCCAGGCCTGAGCCGTCAGTGGGGGCAGAAAGACACCCCCAGAATTGTCAGCCTCAGCGGCCAGGAAGGTTTGGGGTGGTGGGAACACCAGGACAGACAGTCAGAGACAGGACCGTCCTGAGCATCCTCAAGTGCACAGAGAGGTGCAGGAACGCAGGCCTGGAAGACGGGACACAAAGGCGGGAGGTGAGAGTTGTGCGGGGCTGGCGGGGCTGGCGGGGCTGTCACAGCCTGGCAGTGAGTTTGGCTGGGTGGGAGGGGAACTGGGAGCCACAGAAGGCAGTGGAGAGCTGCCAAGGGCACAGAGCCCTCCCACCAGCTCACTTGGCCATGGGTGGGGCATGGATAGGCAGGTGAGCTCAGGGGCAGAGGGCCCTATGTGTGACACCCACTGGCTGGCACATGGCTAGTTACCAGAATACAAAGGATGTGTGGTATGTCCCCAAGGGCCAGGCAGAGCCTGAGCCGCAGAGGTGCTGTGGAGGCCGCCCCTTCCTGTCGGGATACCAGGGAGAATTTAGGATTATGCAGCCCGTAACCCTAGGGACCGGCTGTGCGTGTGGCTTTGCTGGTGGCCTGAAGGGTGTGCACCCTGGACAGGGCCTGTGGAGGTGCCCAGGGCTGCGCTCAGGCCTTGTCCCCTCCCCCAACCTCCCACCAATGCCAGGCCTGCCTGGCAGAAGGGTCCAAGGCATTCCACCCTTTTCAAGTCAAATGGACAGAGAGGGACTTGATCCCTCTCCTTGCAGATGGGGACACCAAGGCTGGAGAGGAGAGAGGCTTGCCAAGGTCATGAACCAGGCAGCGCCAGCCCAGAGAGAGGTCTCCTGACTCAGGTCATGCTGTGTCCTCCCACGGCACACAGGGGAGGTGTGTGCCTGATAAGGAGCTGGCCCTGACACTGACCGCCCTCTTGCTCCGAGTCAGGCAGCACACCCTCTACCCCCCCCCCCTTCTGCACAGCCCTTTCCCCTGGGAAGCCACTCCACAGGGTCCCAGACACAGGACTCACACACCCAGCTCCCAAGTCCCTCCCCCACCCTGTCCCTGTCATGTCTTTGTGGAAAGTGTGGGAAATCTAGTAAAGTTAAAAGGTAACAATTCTAATCATATTTCCCACGGCCCAGGAATGAGACCTTGATGGCCTTGTTCCATTTCCACCCAGCATTCTAAATACTTTGGGATCCTGCTTGGTGTGCCATCCTGGCTCCTAGGTGTCGTATCCCATGGGAACACTTCCTCACAGGGCTGAGTTTCTGGGCATCATTTTTATAGGCTGTATGGTATTCCATTCCTACACACCCTTGCTCCATGGAATAGTCAGCTCAGCCTACTGGCATGGGAGTCCTAGCAGTCATTCCTTACATATCCCTACATGTCCTTCCCCTTACTTCTGTGCAGATTTGTTCCTAGGGACAAAGGTCATAAGTCCCCACATTGAGAGCCAGACTGCATTGGAGAGGACCTGCCCAGTCCTGGGCTGAGCATGTCCTTCCCTTCCCTGTTCCTGGCACTTAGCAGAGCTCAGGGAATTCCTGGTGAAGAAAGAAGCAAGTGAAAGAGTGCATATCCTCTTACCTAAGAGCAGGGCTGGTCTCACTCCTGAGGTAGCAACTAAACGCAGTGCATTGCACACTTGAAAGTTGCTAAAGGAAGGGCTGGGAGTGTAGCTCGGTGATGGATGGAGCACTTGCCCAGCGTGTGGGAGGCCCAGGGTTCAATGTTTAGGGCTTTTAAAAATTGCTAAACCAGGCATAGTGGCACATACCTATAATCCCTGCACTCAAGAGGTTGAGGCAGAAGGGTCACTGTGAGTTTGAGGCCAGCGTGGCTACATAGTAAGATCAAGGCCAGCCTGAACCACATATCGGGACTCTGTCTCCAAAAAAAAAAAAAAAAAAAAAGGACTAAAGAAGTAGACATTGTTTCCTCACCTCAAAATGTGGTATGGGAGACAGTGGGTGTGCTAATCTTAATCGTCTGGATTAAACCCTTCTGCAACACATGTATCTATTGAAACACCAGGCTGTGTGCCATAAATGTATCGACTTTTTATTTGTTCATTAAAAATTTAACCAGGTGTGGTGACACATAGCTATAATACCAGCACTCTGGGAGGCTGAGGCAGGGGGACTGCAAATTTTGAGCCCAGCCTGGGGAACTTAGCAAATGAAATAAAATTTAAATTTAAGCAGCAAAATTAAACAGGGCTTCATCTCAGTGCAAAGGCCCTGGGTTCAATCCCCAGTGCCAGAAAGAAAAGAAGGAAAAGAAAGAAAGAGAGAGAAAGAGGGAAGAAAGGAGAATGGGAGGGAGGGAGGAAGAAAGGAGATGATTGTATTGTAATCAGAAATATATATTTAGTACATACTTATACGTTAAGTATGTATTTATATTATATATGACTGCAATAGAACAGTATTTACTTCCTCTTTATGATAAGCACACTGGCTGCAAAAGACTGGGAAATATAGGGGACATGGGGTGGCTTTGTCCGTCCCGCTTCCTTGCTGGGTGCATGCAAGGCAACGGGGTGGTGAGCAGCAGCTCCACATGCGCTCTCACCTGCCAGATCTACCTGCACCTGCGCTCCTACACCGTGCCCTGTGAGCAGCGCTACATCATCCGCCTGCTGCTCATTGTGCCCATCTACGCCTTTGACTCCTGGCTCAGCCTCCTTCTCCTTGGTGGCCACCAGTACTACGTCTATTTCGACTCTGTGCGTGACTGCTACGAAGGTGACGTGCAGCGCCGAGTCTAGGGGGCTGTATGGTGGATGAGTGAGGCCAAGGGGCGGCCAGCAGGCTTGGGGTGTCAGACTCCAGGCCTCAGGGGATGCGTGCTGGCAAGGGGTGCCCACTGCAGCTGTGACCGTGCCTCAGGTACACGGGCACAGCCCCTCCACCCTCGGGGCCTGTGGACTTTGTGTGGGCCTGGCAGGAACCTGGTGCAGGATGGTCCCATGGGCCATGGGCTCACAGCTGCCCCTGTCACCCTGCAGCCTTCGTCATTTACAGCTTCCTGAGCCTCTGCTTCCAATACCTGGGGGGCGAGAGCGCCATCATGGCTGAGATCCGGGGCAAGCCCATCAAGTAAGCCTCTCCCCCATTACCCACCAATGCCCTGGGCTGGGGCTGGGACAGGCCAGGGCTGGGGACTGTCCTTCCAGCCCATCTCAGGTCTCCCTCCCCACAGGTCCAGCTGCTTCTACGGCACCTGCTGCCTCAGGGGCATGTCCTACTCCATTGGCTTCCTGCGCTTCTGCAAGCAGGTGGGTGGCTTCACCCCTCCCTCCACCTGCCAGGCAACACCAGGCTGTCCCTCCTACCGGGTGTGCGGGGCTGGCTCACTGCACTGCTCACCCTCGCCCCCTGTCCCCAGGCCACCCTGCAGTTCTGCATTGTGAAGCCCATCATGGCCTTGACGACCATCGTCCTCCAGGCGTTTGGCAAATACCATGATGGGGACTTCAAGTAAGTGAGGGGAGTGTGAGTGGGCACTGGCGGGCACGGGGCACAGGGGGGCAGACCAGACCCTGAGCTGGCCTCAGCACAGTCTTCACGCTAAGGACCCCAGGGTGCACCCTGGGGGACCCAGGGAGGATGATAGATTCAGGGCCAAGGGAGCCTGTTGCTCCACCCAGCAGGCAGGGCAGAATTGGGGAGGGAGCCTGCTCCGGCACACCCACAGGCACACGTGCGTGCGCACATACACATGTACACATCTCACATTTGTGCCTTCACACACGAACACATGTATGAATCACACATGCTTAACCACATACATACACACTCACTAGTGTCCACAACACAAGGACCCCTTCCTTTAGGCTGTGGCTGGTAGGTGAGGTTATGGAGGTGGTTTTCTGAAGGGCAGTGAGGTCCTTCCTGCCAGAGAGGGAGGCCTAAACACACATACTCAGGAATCCCCAAAGACCCCACTGCCCTGGAGGGGGGAGCTGTTACAGCACTGCCCAGGCCCCCCCTGACAGCAGCTCTCCGGCCCAGTGTCCACAGCGGCTACCTGTATGTGACCCTGGTCTACAACACCTCAGTCAGCCTGGCCCTCTACGCGCTGTTCCTCTTCTACTTTGCCACCAGGGACCTCCTGCAGCCCTTCGAGCCGGTCCTGAAGTTCCTCACCATCAAGGCGGTCATCTTCCTCTCATTCTGGCAGGGTGGGTGGCCAGGAGCAGGGCTGAGGCCAGGCCTCACTCCCAGAATCTGGTTCCAACCAGACCTCCGCCCCAGTCCTATGTGCCCTTAGTTTCCCCAGTGCTCCAGGAACAAAGACATGGCAGGGTCCATCAGCAAAAGGAGTCACTTGGATGGCACAGTGAGACGACTCTGTGGCTTCTCACACCCTGCCCTGCCAGGCCCCACACAGGCTACGGGCATTCACTGACCCCTCTGCAGACCATAGAGCTGCAGGTGGGCCCCAGACCCAGGGCTGGACATGGCAGGCTGGTGACCTCTGACTTTGGAGGTGCCTGGTCCCTGTGAGCCTCAGCCTTTCCTCCCATAGAAGGAGGCCCCATGGACAGGATATCCCCGGCCAGTCTCAGTGGGAGCCTTGGCTGGGGCCAGCTGGGGCCCAGCCTCCCATCTGGGGCCAGAGCCTGAGTGGCACCTTCCATCCCCAGGACTGCTTCTGGCCATCCTGGAGAAGTGTGGGGTCATCCCTGAGGTCCAGGCCATCGATGGTGCCAGGGTAGGGGCTGGCACGCTGGCCGCCGGCTACCAGAATTTCCTCATCTGCATCGAGATGCTCTTTGCCTCCATAGCCCTACGCTATGCCTTCACCTGCCAGGTGTATGCCGAGAAGAAGGAGAACTCTGCAGGTAAGCCAGGCCTGTCAGCCAGGGCGCTGGGACGTCAAGCTGGGGATGTACAGGGCTGGACAGGGGAACTTCCCCAGGCATCTGAAGGAGACGGGCCTGGACAGGGACCACAACCCCAGGAGCCCTCAGTAATGGGGGTGGGAGCTGGCATCCCTACTGATGGCTATTTGGACCACAATGGCTGATGGCTACCCAGGTGCCTGGCTCCCACCTGGTCAGGGCATGTAGCCAAGGATGTGATAGCCTCACCCCAGGCCAGCCCACAGTGTCCCTTTTGGAAACTACAGAGGGATGAGCCACACGGCCAGGGCTGAACGGGAGGAGCCAACCTAGCTCAGAGTCCTGGGGTTGCTTTCTGCCAGCCAAGACCAGGATCTGGACATGCTGGAGCCCAGCCTGGTGGTCTGGGGTAGACAGGGAGCAGGGCTAAGAGCTAGGTCCCAGGTTCTGGGTCCATGATGGCGGATGCTGGGGCGCAAGCACCCCTGTCACCAGCTCACATGCTGCCTGCCTCCAGGTCCCCCAGCACCCATGCAGAGCATCTCCAGTGGCCTCAAGGAGACCATCAGCCCCCAGGACATCGTCCAGGATGCCATCCACAACTTCTCCCCTGCCTACCAGCAGTACACGCAGCAGGCCACGCATGAGGCCCCAGTGCCTGGCCAGGGTGGGCACTCTTCACCCAGTACCCACGCTGGTATGGCCTGCAGCCCTGGTGGAGGCCGGAGGAGCCGGAATGTGGAGAAGCGCATGCTGATCCCCGCAGAGGACCTGTAGGGACCTGGGCGGCCCAAGCCTCTGGGATGAACAGGGGCCTCCCACCAACACTCTTACCAAAGGCCTCTGGAGAGCCCTCCTCTCCTGTGTCCTGCCCCAAGTTGGGTGCTCAGTGGGCGCCCTGACCCAGGAAAGGCACCTGGGCACATCAGACAAGCCTGAGAATGCACTGGGTGATCGGCCATCAGCCACAGTAGGCCACTGAGGGAGAGGTGCTAACGTGGCCCAGGGAACTTGAGAGTTGACTGTTCCTTGGAAGGGACAGGCAAAGATGCACAGTCAGGCTGTGTAGCTACAAAGAGAGATACTGGGGACTTGCTGGGCAGCCTGGCCTGGGACAGCAGAAGAATCACAAGTGCTGAGGGCTGAGACTCTCAGGCGGGGCCTGGCAGGGGTCACATTGGGCATATGGCACAGCCACAGGTACAGCCCACCACAAAGAGCCTTGGGGCAACAGGCAAGCCTGGATGGTGACCTGCTGCTCCCCATGGAACCGCCTTATTTATAAACACCTTGGACTTTCTAATAGTGTGTTGGCCTTCTGTTCCTGCATGGCTGGTACCCCAGCAGTGGAGCATAGGAGGCTGCTCATGAGCCCACTACTCTGGGGTCCTCCTTGCCCCGGCAGCTGCCTGTGGTGTAGCTCAGAGCACTGTAAGGCAAAGAGCACGGACTTTGAGATCAGGAGCCAGGCAGTGTGCTGGCACCAGTGTCTCTGCCTAGAGAGCCAGAGCGGACACCACCCTCCCAGCCAAGCCTCATGTGGGTCCCGCCCTTCTATGAGTGGATGAGGTCCCAGGGCACAGCCTCCAGGGCCCGGCTGCAGAGGGGGCACAGGCCTGCCTTCTCCCCTCTCACCCTTACTCCATGTGCCCGAAGAGCCTCAGGCAGGCCCTTCCTTGGAGGCTAGATGGCTCACAGAGAGAGCAAAGGCAGCTGGGCTGGAATTAGAGGAGTTGCCACTGAGCCCTGGCACAAGTGGTGTCTCCCCAGGGGAAATTCCAGGCATAGGGATGAGTCTGTGTCCCACAGCACAGGCAGGCAGGGCCTGGGAGCTTGCAGGCAGGGGACAGAGAGGCAGGTATGAGGGTGTAAGTAGGCACAGGAGACAGGAAGGCCTGGCAGGTGCCTCTCAGGGATGGCAGCTCCCACCCTCTGCCCAGCTTCCAGCTTCTATGGGCCAGGTCACCAGGGGAAGAGGGACATGTGCCCCAAACTTGGGGACTCGGGTAGGCAGAACTGACTGCAGTGTCAGCTAGGGTGGGGGCCGCTCCCCACATTCTTCCTCCTGGCCCAGGGACAAGGGACTCAAGGCCAGCAACTTCTGCTGGGCGCCTGGGTTGCTGATAAGATAGGGTTCCTCCCTGTGCCCAGCTGGAAAGGTCCACCCCCACCACCGCCATCTTATCATACTCTCTGCATCCGGCAGGCCCAAGAGACATTGCACAGGCTTGGGTGGGGGTGGGGGGGGCATGCTCCCCGGAGACCTGAGATAGGCTCCGCGCCTGGCTCTATTCATGCCTAAGGAGTAGCCTAAGATGCCCACAGCCCTGTGCGGGAGGGCAGCTGCTCTGGGGGCCCCTCCTGGGAACCTGACACCATGTGAGCTTCAGACAGAGCCCTCTGCTAAACCTGACAGTCTCTGGGGCTTCCACTCGGAAGCACCTACGTGTGTGAGGAACCGACAGACACTGAATCCTAATGAAGCCTGGGGCAGGTGAATGAGTCCAGAGAGGCCCAGTAAGCTGCCTGAAGTCACAGAGCTGGCAGAGGCTGACTCTACCTGCCCCCAACTCTTCTGCAGACACCTGCACAGGCCCTGCTAATAGGATAGTGAAGCTGTGTGGGCTCTCACCACCTGCTGGAGGAAAAGACACAGCCAGAGTAGCCTGAACAACGCAGCCAGGCTGAGCTCTGCCAGCCTCCTGGCAGGACATGTGGGTGCCCAAAGGGAGGAGGAAAAGAGCAGTCTGTCTCATCATAACTGATGAAAAAGTGCGGCTCTGAGGACAGCCCACCCAACAGGCTGCAGGAGGGGGCTACTCAGCAGGCAGGAGCTTGCTGCGGGCCCTGCACTTCCATCTGTGAGGTGGCCCAGGTGGGAAACCTCAAAGGGCAGATGCCCCGCACACCAGCCTGAGTCCCCTTCACAACTTCCGTCTGCCCACAGCCTCCAAGAACTAAGCCTAGGATTCTGAGCCTCGAAGCTCACCACCAAGGGTGGAGCCACGGGCCCTGGGATCAGCCACAGGGAGATCTAGCCTATGGGGACTTACTGCAGCCCCTACTGTTCCGGGGGCCATCATGTGTACCCCGCCGTGCTGTTTGGGTTGAAGGTAGGAATTGCAAGGGGCGGACCCTGCTGCAAGCCCAACCTTCCTCCAAACACTGCCCTGCCTGCTCCTGTGAGGCTAGTGGGGTGGGGGCTCCTCACCACAGGTCAGCCCCAGACCTAGTCAGGCCCCCAGCTTTCCAGAGCAGTTTTTAGGCCACTGTGGGAGGACTTCACACCCTGCCCCGGACGCCATCCCGCTCTCGTGCCTTGCAGGCTCATTTTGAAGCCTACCCTGCTGGAAAGGGGGCTCTGCAGCTCCCAGCTGTATGCAGAGGCTGCTTCCACTGTGGGAGGCCTCTGGCAGGGCAGGCTGGGAAGCTCAGGAACCTACCGGCAATCTAGCTGAGCCAGAGCAGAGGTGGACAGTGCCACCCTCATGCTGTCCCAGCTTCGGATCCCAACCTGACTCTCCAGAAGGGGGCTATGGTCGGGATGGGCAGCAAGGCTGGGAGAGGGTATGGCCCTGCCCAGCACACAACAGTCCGGGATGCCAGCTTCTTGGCTCCAAGAGTCAGGTCTGCACCAGAAGAACCTGAAACCAGGAGATTCTTTATTGCAAAGGTACAAAAGCAGTCACAGCAGCGACATGTACAGCAATAAATTAGGTGGTGGCCATGAGACAGGGTCAGGGTGGGCACAGACAAAGGTCCACAGCATATATCTCTTCTCAATAATTTATACTGGGGGAAAAAGTAGCACAAAAATAAATATTGAAATGAAATGCAAGTAGCCAGGTGGCCAGGACAGACTGGGCCATGCAGTGAGCGTGTGTTCCAGCCGCCCTGGCAGGTAGAGTCCTACCTTCTTTGGGAAGTTTGAGGAGCCGGACAGAAAACAAACCCACAAAACAAAGAGGTCCTTGTCTTTTTTCTTAAAATAATAATAAAAATCCACATATTAAATTGTGACAATGAAATTTCAAGGGTCTGAAAAGAAAAGCAGAAGGTGCTGCTTCTTTCCCAGGCCCTGGACCAAGGCTCTGGGCAGTGACGGTAGCTCCGTCCACCCTGGAACCAAGGGCAGGGCACCTCCCATGCCCCAAGCCAAGCACCACAGGCCAGCAATGGGCAGCAACCCATGGCCAGTGGTCACCTGCCTGCTGAGTCCTATGAGATGGGGACACAGGCTCCAAGACTGGACAGAACTTGTATTGCTATAGCCTGCTCTGAGGGGCCATGCACAGCACCTGCAGGGTCAGGCTTTGTCCAGAGCCCAGTGTGCCTGGCACCATCTGCAGGCAGGAAGACCAAGGGGAGGCAGCAGACATCCTCTGTCCATGGCAAGCAGCAGAACGCAGGAAGGAGGGCAATTTGTCCCACCCCACCCACCATCCCCTGCGGCTCTGCACTAACAAAGATCTACAGTATCAAACTGGAAAGGAAAAATTGTTATGAAAATTCTGTAAGATAAAGTATGTATATAATTTTATATATATATTCTTCTCTTTCTTTAAATATTTCCCCATGGTCCTTACTGATATCCAATATGGATTACCTACCATGGCTATGGTATCAACAGCTTTTGTTAAGTGCCCAGTGGGGCCTTTGCTCTTTGTGGATCCCATGTGCCTTGGGCTATTGCCCAGCCGGCCCTGAGCAACCCCGGGCCAGGAGGATGACCAACCGCTGCACCCCAGTGCTGCCGCAGACTCCCAGACACTTCTATCCACTAACAGTAGACACACAACCAGGCCACAGCCCTTGGGGCTGTCTGTCCTTTGGGGCTGTCCACTGCCCTCCTCCCAATGTAGCCAACATCCTGCAAGTGAACTTGGTGGTTTGCTGGGGGTCTCACTATGTAGGTGGAGGGCAAGCCATGAGGGAACTGGAAGTCCCTGCACTACCCCTGCTTATCACACATGAAGGCTTCTGGTGGCAAGACATAGGGCTGGCATCCCACCAGCTCACAATGGTGGCCCTGCTGAGGCCCCTGTCCCAGAGGGGCCCTGTGGTGATGCTCAGGGGAAGGAAGCCAGAAGGATTCCAAGAGCATCAGCATCTTAGGAGTTTTATAAAGCAAGAGCAGGAGGTGCCAATGACAGTTAAGCACCACACCCACAGCCTACCTAGGCTGGACACAATAAGCCTGTCCCAGCTAGGGCCCTCTGACCTCCATATAGCACCACCCAGACCCCTCCACATCCCAGGACCTGGGTCCCCTTCCCTGGCTCCTGCCCCATCCTCCCCACCTGACCACTCTCCTCCTTCCACAATGGAAACTACGATGACCCCTGGCCTGTGCCACAGAATATCCTCCACTTCCACCTCAATGGCCACCAAGCTTCTCTCCTGACCACAGCAGCCCTTCCCTGCAGGCCCCCCAAAATCCCCCTTCTCACCCACACTGAGCACAGCTAGTGAGCAGTGGCTCCAGGAAGACCAAGCCTGCTCCCTGCTGACTGGTGGGAGACTCCTGTCCCCAACTCCACCTGTGGGTCAGATCCTGCACCTCCCTGGCTGACCTCCTTGGGTCACAAAACACAGGGACATTCCGTAACATGCGCACTACTCTGATACTACTTGACAAGCCCTTCCCACCTGACCCAGCTATTCCTCCAAGGATAGTGCTATGGCCATGGGTGCTGTGATGTCAGGCAGATGAATGAATACACACACACACACACACACACACACACACACACACACACACACACACACACAAATTAGCACCCTCAGGCATCCCCTCCCAAGTCTGCCTCACAGGGGCCAGGCATGAATGTAAGAGCTAAAGCAGGTCACAGTGCATTTCCATGGGGACAACTGGAAGATCAGAGCTGCCAACAGGCCCCCGCCTCTCAGGGTGGCCAGAGCTTGATGGGGGCTGGCTGGTAGGACGGGGCCAACAGGGTGCTCGCAGAGGCATGGAAGATGAGCCCCCTGCACCCAGCCACAGCGCCTTAGGACTCTAACAACTCTTATAAACAGACACATCTAGGGAGAAGGGGTGGCGTGAGTGTGCGTGTAGGTGTGAGTGTGCATGAGTGTGCGTGTGGGTGGCAGGTGGCTCTGGCTCACAAGAGCCTACTCTCCTTCCTGGGCCGGCCACCAGTCCTGCTGTCCCTGCCCTTGGCCCCAAGAGGTCCGCAGTGCACAGATGCTCAGTTTGTGCCAGGGATCCAAGGGCAGGCATTGGGGACGCGGCCCCGGCAGGGACTAGGATGCAGCCGAGAAGGGCACAGAAGTAGAGGAGATGTCGGCGGACTTGACGATGGTGATGACGCTGGTGGTGGCCACCTTGGTGGGTGTGATGGGTCCGCGGGCCACGGTGCGGGCAAAGGTCTGCAGGGCCTCATACTTGGCCCGTAGGGCGTCGAGCTCCAGCCGCATGCTGCTGTTCTCACGGGCCAGCTTCTCCACCTCCTGCTGCAGCTCCACCCGCTGCCGCTCCAGCTCTTCCTTCTGGGTCACCCGCTTGATGCGGCAGCTGGCTGCGTAGCCGCGGTTCTTGAGCGTGCGCCGCCGTTGCTTCAGGCGCGTCACCTCCTCCTTGGTGAGCCCCCTCAGGTGCTGGTTCAGCTCCCGCACTGACATGGACACCAGCTCATCATCGCTGAGCACCGGGGCGTTCTCACCCGTCTCCTTCTTAACCTGTGGGGCCGCAGAAAAGGTCAATACCAGAAGAACTTAGAGCCCCTCAGGACTTGCCCCCTGGAGCCCAGAAGCCCAGTGGAGTCTCACCTTCTGCACAGGCAGCAGTGTGATACTACAAGGCTACACTAGGCACCCCACTGGTCCCACTGCTGTCACTGTGGCCCTCTTTGAACAGGGAGGACAGGCAGCTGCTCCCCGCGGATGGCCAGTGGTGATGTGACCACCTCCCATCACTGCCAGCCCTCAAACTACACGAGGACACACCTCCATGAGGTACCCTGGCCCTGTATGCGCTCGAGCTGGGGATGAACACAGGCAGGTGTGCAACCAGCCCTTCCTGACACCCAGTCATCAGGGCAAAACAGGGGTCTGGCCAGCAGGGTTACCTCACATGGAGGGACCCCAGAGGTGTAAGGCCCATACACATGTGGAGCTCCAGCTCTGCACACAGCTCCCAGGGGATCTGAGATAAGAAACCTAGGCCCCGGTCAAGAAAGCTGAGGGGACCCTGGGGTCAGCAGGAGCCAGGCGCTCACCAAGGCCACTCAGCCACACCTGATACTAGAGGATGAGCTCAGGCAGAAGCAGGCCCTGTTAACACAGCCCCAACTGTCCCTCAGCCTGGGCCAGCTCCCTGCACACCGAGAATTTGTCACCCACCTCCCCAGCCAAGGACTTCTTCCCAGTGACGTTCCCATCTGTTCCTAGGGACAGGCCTTCTGTATGCCCCAGAAACGGTCCTGGGAAGGAGGACCTTCGGGGGCCTGTATGGGACGGGGTCCCACGTGCAGCCCCGCCCGATTTACCTTTAATGCCTTATTCGGTTTGGGATTCGTCGTCATAACCTGGGCACAGTCACCAGGGCAAAGCCACTTAGAAATCGTACCTGGAGAGACACAGAAGGAGCACAGGAAGCTAGGGTTAGGCCTGGCACTCAGAAGCAAGGTGCTTGGGGAACTTGGGTCCACCTTCCTGCAGCCAGGCAGGCACCATACCCTAGAGACACCCTCAGGAGCTCTCTGGGGCTCAGGCAAGATCCAGCTACCAGCATCAGCCCAAAGAGAAGCCAGGAGGCAAAGGTCCCCAGGCCTGTCAGCACACACTGTCCCTTGATGACCACCCTCGTCCAGCATGTGTTGGGAGCCACCAGCGCTGTGGGGTGACCACCAGGCGGTGGCCAAGTGTTGTGTCTGGTTTGACTCTGCTCCTGAACTCAAAAAAGACATCTGTACCATGAGGACAAAGTGCTGCGCCCTAAAACCAGAGACCAACCTCAAAGCGTCTTCCAAGAAGAACCATATCTGGCCCCAAAGACATGTGGCTGGCTGGCCACTGGCTAGCATCCCTGCTGGGCAAGCCTTGCCAACCCAGCCTGGGTCCCTGGGGACAGGAAGGGTCCCTGCCATTGCCAAGTCTCATTCCCAAGACAAACAAGGCAGGTAACCTGCCACCCCTTCCCAGGCCCACCCCCCTCACAGGTACCCGGGACACCTACCAAGGAGAAGGAAACTGCAGCGGTGACACTACCACCTCAACCTTGTGGCCCCGAAGGTGGGCAGAAGCTCTTAGTGGACAGCAGGTTCAGAGGCTGCAATCAGGGACAACAAGAACTGTAGCCACCTCCTGGGCTCCTCTACTGTCTGCCGGGAGTTGTTGCCGCCTCCTGCCAGCCCCCTCGCCCGCCCTTCTCATTCTCCAGTCTGCATTGTGTCACACATTCTAATCATTCATGAAAAACCCAGCCAAAGCATCCCAGACATGATTCCCCTATGATAGTTGCCATGGCGACCTTGGGAAGCAGCCAACCCCTGATGGTTGTCATGGAAATGGAGAAGCCCAAAAAAAACTGCAATCATGATGACTCCAGGTCAGGCCTGTGCAGAGACATCACGAAGTTGTCAGACAGTAAACAAACTCATTCATCCCGGACAACAGGGACAGGGGTGGGCGTGGAGGTGGAAATCCTGGGCTGGGCACCCCCCCAATACTCCAAACCCAGACCCAGTGAGTTGGGCAGAAGCAGCGCTGGAGAAGTACACAAAAGGGTACAGAGAGGACATAAATTGGGCAGCCGGGAATTGGGCCTGACCCCTCCAACTTAGGGCCTGTCTCTATTGTGGTCCCACCTCTCTACCCCCCACCCTCTACCACTGGAAGGCTGTCAACTTGAGACAGGGCCTGGGCTCCAGGCTTTGGGCACCTGGCACCCTGGTGACAACCGGTCTGAGGTCTGAGGCCAGCCTGAGGGAGCTGCAGGTGTCCTTGCTCTGCAACCTGGAGGGACAAAGTAAGCATCCTTACAGGTTACACCTGGGCTCAAATGGGACAGACAAGCAGCAGTTGAGTGACCCCACTGGGAGGTAAGCCCTGGTTTTGTGAAAAAAACATGACCCCATCTCACGGCTGGCATACAGTAACACTGGAGAAGCCACAGCTCCCATCACCCCGTGAGGGACTGCAGGCGCCAGGGGCCTGGGAGCGCCCTGAGAAACTTTCCCGTGCCCAGGGAGGAGGGGCGGGCATCTCTTCCAGCTTAGCCAGCGTCAGTGACATAGCTATGTGGTGAGTCACTGGCTGTTTACAGAGCCTGCTCACATTCCCACACAGGACGCCCCTCCCACCCCTCACGAGCTCCCTGGGGGCCCTGGGGCCAACGGAAAAGGAAGGTGGCGGGAAGGGGCCTCTGGTTGGGTCTTTGGGAGATAGGGGACTGCTTAGCCCAGGCCAGAGCTCAGTGCAGGGACCTTTTCACTAAGGAGATGCCTCTATGACAACTGTCCAGACACGGAGGCGGCCAGATACACACAGGACAGGGGCTCAGGACCCAGGGAGCCCTACAAGGGTTGGCTGGGGTACCAGGATGGCAAGATGGGCCCCTCCCCTGGCTTGGACCCCACTGTCTGCTGGCTCTGAGCCTACCACATCCACCTCGCAGGGCTTCCGGGGCTCCAAGATCACGGAGAGAAAAGCATCCCACAGGGTCCCTGGTGGGGCCCAGGCAAAGGCCACAGTGGGGTCTGAGCACAGGGCACTTTCTGCGTCCTCAGCCTTCTTAAGGATGACACTCAAGGACAGTGTGGCTGTGGACACACTGCCTTCCTGATGGCCTACTCTACTGTGGTCGAACTTACAGATGAGTAAATGAGTGTGCCTCAGGAGCCAGGGTCCCCAAAGGAATGAGGGGTGGAAGCAAAGTGTCCAGAGATATCCCACCCCAGCTCCCAGCCCTTGAAAGCCCCAGGATGGGCCTAACAGGTGAGCCAAGAAAGAAGCCCAAAGCGGGGCTCCTGGACCACGCCCCATTCCCTGCCAGCTCCCAGGGCTGGGTCCTGGGTGCCCTTCCAGCATGGTGTCACACAGCCCGTGCCTGATTCTTCAGGCAAGGGACCCCGTTCTGTAGGAGAACCCTGGGCCCTCTGTGGACAACCTGACATCATCTGCTCAGCCAACTTCTCAGCAGCCAGCCCACCTGGAAAGTGAGGCCTGGGTGGGCCGCAGGTTAGTCCTGCCCTTCCTGGCATGCACTTTTCATGAACTGAGTATGTGGATAGGACAGGGCTGGTACTCACCCATGCCCCAAACAAAGTACATACATCCAGTTCAGAATTAAAGTTGCTTTGAAACATCAAAGGCAGAAAACAACAACTGGTGGCCTTTGGAAAGAAGATCAGAGGGGAGGATTTGCTCTACCACTGAGGTACCCCAGTCCCAGGGAAAGTTGTGTATGTGGGAAAAATAGTGAAACAACATTTGAAAACATTCTGAAGCCAGGTATGGTAAGACACACCTGTAATCCCAGCTGAGGCAAGAGGACTGCTGCAAGTTCGAGGTCAAAGTGGGCTACATAATGAGACTCTGTCTCAGAAAACCAAATAAATAGCTCTAAAGAAGCTCTGTAAGACATTAATCCTCATGCAGTCTCAAGGCCACAGGAAAACCCAGAGAGACTCCTCTCCAAACCTCTGATTAGAGATGGCAGAAGCAGGAGGTCCTGCCAGGTAATAGGGCACTCGAAACCCTCAGCCACAGGAAGCCTCATGGAGGTCGGCTTCCCTCCCATCCTGGCCCAAGGCGGGTGTCCAGCCTCAGCAACTGGCCAGCACAAGAAAAAAATCTCTTCAGCGATTTTTGGGAGGACCACTGTGAACCTTCTAACATCCACTAGCCAACACTACGCAGACCTGACACTCCTGAGCTTCGCAGAATTTTGGAAGAGTTGCTAGAGATGTTAGCATCTCAAGGACCAGCCTGGGATCCTGGAGCTCAGAGTTTTTGCTGCGTGTACCACTCCCTGATCTAAGAGGGTCGCCGTTCACCACTGATCCCTTGGGTCCCCAGATAGCCCCTTCCCCATGCAGCACCTTTCAGGTGACTGATGCTCTAACGGAAAAGGTCAGGCTTTCAACCCAGAGCCAGAAATGTCATTGTGAGGTTCATCTATGCAGGTCATCAGGTTTATCACAACATCTCAAAAAGAAGGCCAGCCAGCAGCTCAGAGGTGCTAACTCGATGTAACTGGGGAGCAGAAATAGTGAGCTCCTCTATTCCAGGACAGATGGAGGCAGAAGGCCTGAATCCCACAAAAAGCAGAGCAGCACCTTACAGAGGACTGGAATCCTAAGCCTGGGCATCCTTGAGAGCAGGACAGGTACCCAGCTCAATGGCCCAGAAACCGCCCTTTCAGGAAATAGGAGAGGCAGTGACAGCTGCCTTCCACCGTGAGGATCAATTTTTACTTTTCAACTTCCAATGTGGCTACTCCACTCAGGAGCTGGGAGCCTGCAGAGAAGCACCCAAAGCTGAGTACCCTTCTCAGGGACCACAGGGCAGGTGACACTATGCTGGTACCCAGTGGTACCTGCCATATAAACAGGTGTTGACTAACTGGAGACCCAGCTGGCCTCCTACTCTGCCCACTCAGGACCAGGAAGGCTCTCCCTGCCTCCCACCCAGGACACAGCCTCCCTGGTGTGCAGCACCAGCTTCCATCACCCCTCCACTCCCAAGCCCACACCAGCCTGCAGCCAGGCCTTGGCTGGCTGCCCTCCGGCAAGCCACGACTGTCTGCCCAACTTGGAGGACGTCTGGTCACCTTGCATTTGCAGTCTGAGGAAGCTGTGTCATCCCAGCTACATCCAGAGGTGACTCAGGCAGTGGCTGCCATGCCTACAGTGGCTGCATTGTACCCCTCCTCCAGCAACCTCCACCCTCATGCCTCTACCCCAGGTCTCCCATCCCTGGCTTACTGAAGGGTCCCAGGCTGCCAGCTCCCCTTCAAAATCCTGTTCTGGGGGCTGGGGATTTAGCTCAGCAGCACAGTGCCTGCCTGGCAATCACAAGGCCATGAGTTTGATTCCCGGTACCGGGAAAAACCAAAAAATAAAAAAATAAAAAAAACAAAATTTTGTTCTCTTCTCATGTCCTGGGGTTCCAGCCAGCTCCCACCCTCTTCATATAGCTGGACATGTCCCCTGGGAAAACCCAAGGGCCAGACCTGCCTGTCCCCCTACCACTTCTTCGTCTGTATCTCCAGCTTGGATGGTGACAGCCACCTCTCATGGTGTCACTCTCATGGTGCAAATGGCCCCCAGCCCTACACCTCTCTTCTTCCTCTGTGCCATGGCCCAGGTTTGATGACCTTGTCCTCCCAGTTCTTCTGCCCAGACCACAGGCCAGCTCCCACTCAGGCCCTAGCTTCTGTCCAGGACCCAGCTTTGGTTTAACAGGACCTCAGCTTTGATCTTGGTGCCTCACATGCAGCCCCCACTGGCAGGAGGAAACAGTCCCAGGCACCTCCTGAGCTCTGCCCCCACAGCCCTGTCACCATTTCAGTCCTCCTCCAGTGGACCCTTCCGCACTGGGCACATGGTCCCCAACATCCTCCAACCCAGGCTTCTTCCAGAAAGCCCTCCCAGCTGCTCTCTTTGGGGTAGACCATTACCCTGAACCAAGTCTAGTTCTAGAACTTTCTGTTGACAAGCTGACCTCCTCACTGTACAGATGAGCTCCAGGCAAGCAAGGAACATGCTACCTGCCCCATTCCAGGGTTCCAAGACACTGGAAAAGGTCTGGGCTCAGGCAGAGCAAGGGTCCCAGGAAAGGACAGCTACAGAGAGTAAGCAGGCACCCAACCAGACTCAACTCCAGCTCCCAACCCAACCTGGCCCAGGTGAATGAACTTCATGATCACTCAGGTTCCTCCTGTCTACTAGCTCTGAAATGCTACGGTTTTCAGATAACGCTTTCAGTTTCCTGAAACTGTAAGGAAGAGGAAACATGACAAGTCTGTGACTTATAAAAAGCAAAAGTAAATACCGGAGCAACATATCTTCCATTAGCAGAGAACGGAGAGGCTGGGGAGGGGAGTGTGAGTCACTGTTTACAGCTCTCAGGAGCAGCCGCACAGAGAATTCTCCCAGCTGGCCGCATTTCCATTTCCCGTGTGGACTGGACCCGAAATCCAGAAAGTCCACTTCAGAAACCTTTAGACTCAGAAACAGCCAGAGCAGAAACAGGCACAACTTCTAGACAGCAAGCTGCTTTGCCCAAGAGTGTAAACAAACCCTCCAGCCGTCACAGGGCCCCAAGTGAAAGCCCGAGTTGTGGACAAAGAACAGTCCAGAAAACAGTCTAACTCCACGGCGGTGGCTGTGCAAGTGTGGAGAAAGACTAGAACTCAGACGGCCCCGACCTTTGTAAAAGCCAGTTCACCAGTACCCTCTGCCCAATTCTCATTTTTAGCAACCACCTGGAAAGTACGCAACACTGTACTTGGAACCATTCCCTCCAACTCTGGCTTGGTTCAAGTACAAAAGGCGAATGTGCCCCAGAGAAACCTGGTTTGCTTTAATAAATGTTTTATTTGGAATAACAAGGTCTAGTTTTAAATTATAACAGCAGCCTCTCTCCACCAAGGTCAAACTCACACTTTCCTAATGGACTACCTATGGAGGGAAGGTCTCATACACAGTGGGCCGCTCACAGCGCAATATGCGTAGGTGTACCCCGAGGCCCGCAAAGCCCTGCTCCACCAATCCTGATCCCGACACCTTCTTAAAATCTCCCTGGCCTGCAAACATCCAGGGGATCGCAGGACTAGCCCACTGTACCAACTGCGATGTCAAAGGCATAGCAAGACCTCATCAGTGCCCACTGAGGGGTCTTAGAGGCCATCCTGGCCAATCAAGGGAGGGGAGGGACCATACTATACAGATTTCTATCATGCTGCCACTGTGAAGGGTTTTGGGTCTGGGTACTTCCCGAGGCCCCGCACCTGGCAGAAGGATGGATCTCTGCTGATCAACAGGTGTATGAAATGTTAAGAGCATACATTCTGCTTTGGGTACAGGATCTCTATGGAGGGCAAGTGAGGGCACACTCACTCCAGGAGATCAGAGAGAGCAGGGGGCTATGAGCATCCCCAAACTTGGACTGCTCCACTATCATGGAACTGACTTCACAAAGCAAGGCGTGAGAGTGAGGGTCATGGCCAGATCCCCTCTTCCTAAGGCAGACAGGCAAGCTCCAGAGATCACTAGGCTTCCTGGGGTATGCGGCTTTCTAGATTTGCTTCTGATTTCTCCTGGGCTCACAGGTTTCAAGTGTGCAGAGGCATACAGACTAACATACTTGTTGGTTAACAAGACTGTGGCCCAGGAAAACCAGCCTTTAGAGTTGGAAGAGGCCTTGGCCCCTGACCACACCTGAGGAAAGTGACGGAAGTGACACGCTCGCCAAGACTGTCACCTGCCGCCCTCCCCACGCACAGCCACCACATCTGGCCCCTCCTTCCGGCACCCCCCGGTAGGTCATCTGACTAGAGAGTGGCGCCAGCCACCGCAGCCTCTGGGAGGACTGGGTCACCCCTGCTCCCCCAGGAGATGCCTGGTAGGGGGGTCGGAAGCCTGGGCTCCCCGCGAGGCGGAAGCAGCCGGGGCACTGACGCCGCATTCCGCACGTGCTCACTGCACGCTCAGGTGCGCCCCCAGGTGCGCCGCGGCCTTTGAGGGGTCGGCGTCAGAGTGTGGATCCCACCGACGCCCACGTCGCGCGGGACCCTGCAGCACGTGCGCTGGGCCCAGCCGTGTCCGCGCGGAAAGGCGGCCGTCGGGGCAGGTGCGCGCCCCGCGGTCCCACCTC